AACCGAAGGACACACTGCTCGGTCCAGCACCACGCTCACAGCTGTTCCTGTGCCTGAGCCCATTGTTGTAGCCACTGTGTCCGTCCCCTTCCTGGAGGGACCTTCTCCTGACAACATGCCCAAAGCTCATGAGATGGAAGCCACGCTTGCCTCTAAGGAGCACTCTGGCTGTCCTTCCAAGACAGATTTGTTTGTCCTTTTGGCAGCCCCTGGTACTTTTCAATACTCTTCGCTGCCACCACCATTCAAATGCATGGATTCCTCTTCGGTCTTCCTCATCCAATGTCCATTTCTCATGCCTACGGGCAAGTGAAAGCACCCTGGCCTGGGTCAGGCGCCCCTGAGTCCTCAAAGTAACGTTCCTGCTTTTCAACACTTTAAAGACATCTGGTGCAGCAGAGTGACCCAGTGCCTTTCCGCTACAGGATGACCCATGTGCATGACCAGGTGAGTGGGACGGACAGGATCGCCGTGGAAAGTTCAGGGGCAGGGGCTGGGGTCAAACTCCCTCTGTGTCCTCATCCACCCACGGTGGCCTTTGTGACAGGAAGAGGCCCGGTGGAGGCTGGGCGCCCTGGAGGCCAGTTATAATGGTTCCAATACTCACCGTCTTCGAGGCAGTTCAGCCTCTTACCAACCCCCACAATGCTAAGCTGCTCTTTTTTTTTAATCAAGGAGGGGTTGCCACCTCCCAGAGTCACTCCAGTGGGGCCAGGTCTCCCCAGGCAAGAAGCCACCTGGGGTCCAGAGAAAAGCAGCCCAGAACTGAGCCAGGCTCCCCAGAAGGGATGTCCATTGAAGGGTGGGGCGGGCCCCTGGTGGCACTGCAGGCCGCCCTGTTCCCACAAACCTTCCACTCTCACACCCCCAGTCCTTGCCTGGAAGGGAAGGCTTGAACTGAGCTTTAAGTGGTTTCTGTGGTCTGGGGGGCAGGGAGAGAGGGAAAGAGAAGTTGGTGGCTGTTCCCCAGTTCCAAGCCACCACTACCGCACCACCACCCCCCTCAGCCCAGGCTGTGTGTCCCTCAGTTGAGATTCCCCGACCTGATTAAGCCACTGGGTGGGTGAAATGATTCTCTGATCCCTATCAGCCTCTTTCTTGCATAAGAATCTAAGAATGGTATTTGAGGAGGAAATCACCACACTGCCCTGCTTCAGAAAGACCGATTCCTCTGGAAAGGGGGCTGTGATTGCAGCAAGAGGGAAGAAGGAGAGGCACCAGGGGGCACTTCCCAAAAAGATGACCAAGGGGCCTTCTTGCCCTGGGGAGAAAGAATGCCAGCCAGCCATACTCAGGGCAAGGACGGGACGAAGGAGGATGTCAGGGAAGAATGTGACTCTCAGCCCGTCTCTTTCCGTCTCATGCAGGGGTACCAAGCAGCACAGCTGGGGGAGGCTGTTGTAGGCTCGGAACATCGACAGTGGCCTGGCACAGACTGAGGCCCTCGGGGACGCAGACTCAGGTTCTCAATACAGGAAGGTCCAGTTCCCTCGCCCTCTGTCCCCAGCCACCATGGGAACTGGAAAGCCCCCTCCACTTGTAAGGTGTGGCAGCCCGGGGGGAAACTTGGGGAACTGCCCCCACGCAGAGGTGCTGATGGTAGCAAAGGAGCGGGATGGGAGGGCAGGAGAGGGAAGGGACAGCTGCCTGCCTGCTCCCCAACTCCACGCCAGGCGCCACGTGCCCCAGGTTGGGGGGAGTGGGCGAGTCACGAGGCCGTGGCGTGGCTGGCTCCTGCACGGCTGTTTACCAGCTGGGCTGAAAGCAGGAGGAGGTGCCAGGGAGCCTCCCCACTGCAGCCTGGCCCCCAGCCAGCCAGGCTGTTGGGTAACCCGGAGAGCCAGGCTCAGCTAATCAAACTCTAGGCTGAGGCTGTGGCAGGAGAGAGGTGGCATCCAGGCCCCTTGGGGGGCCTCTTCCTGGGCTTCCCTCTGGGCCCTTTGTGCAGTGGGACCCCAGTGTGGTCTGGCTGGGTCTGGGGGCCTCTCTCCCACCCCATCTAGCATCGCCCCTCTCCCCCCCTCTCCCACTGCTTCTCTGCCTCCTTATGCTCCTCCAGGCCTGTCCCGGCCCCGAGGAGGCTCAGAAGACAGGGCACCAGAGGGTTCTCAGAAAGGGCGGCAAGGGGCAGAGGCCAAGCAGGCAGATGCCTCAGGAAGCTGAAGAGCCGGTGGGATAAGTCTGGCAGAAGCCCCCAAACCATGTCCTCCAGGTCCCATATC